CGTAATCTTAAAGATTTCTAAATGCATCTACTTCTGGATGACCAAATAAAGTGCTTTTGCTTTCGCCTAGAAACACACAGCGTCTCCCTGACATGGCTGCTTCAACACTAACTGGTTACTGAAACCACGCCTTCTTTCTTTGCGTGCACATTTGGGCGGCATTATGCAAATATTTCCACATAGTGAGGTAGATATGTGGGGGCGTGTTAGAACGAGCTGTTTTAGGGGGGCGTGGCAGAGTCTTAACTTTGATAAAGAATATCTCTTTGGTTTTGAGACTTTAGTCTTTGCAACTTCAGGGATCTTATCTATGCACAATCAGCTTGTAACACTCCAAAGAGAAAGGAAAACTTGAAATCGCTATTATAATAGAAAGCTATTATTATCAGAACACGTGAGCATAACATAGCGGTTAGTAGATCAATGAATGAGAGGGCAGCTTTACCAGAGTTGCCCATATACCACACCATGTTACAACACAGTACGGCTATTGCAGACAGAAACAATACTGTACTAGGCCTACATCGATGTTTCCTGTCGGCTCAATTTTTGATTGGACTTTGCTGTTGAGTCGCATGAACGGTATACGAGTGGAGCGGCGCGCACACGCATAGAGAATACGCAGAGCCATGTGAAAGTGAATCCTCAGCGGTGAACTAATTTTCGGCAGCCGAAATTTCGGTGCATCACTAATTATTGGCGACATCAGAAATGGATATTATATAATCGATGCTTTTTCTTTTTTTTTTTTACATTTTAGCAATTTAAAAATTAAAAAAAATGATTTTTTACACAGCACCTCGTTTGGGAAACACTTGTTTAGATGATGTGTCCCTACCTGGTGGACTATCAAAAGTCTTACATTTGGCTTTGTGACAACTACATGATATTCCTTACATTTCAAGATATTGTACTTTTCCAGTTAATACCAAAGAGAAACAACACTCACCAAAAACAAAGAAACAAAACAAACAACAAAAAAAGAGTTGTATACTAAAATTATATTTTTAAAAGATTACATGGACAAATAACCCTTTCAAAATGAGGTTGAAAAAAAATATATACATTTTTTCAAATTAGACAAGTTGTTTAATATATTACATAGAGATGGGCTGGGTGATACTATGGGAGAGCACATCGAAATATCTACAGGCATATATACAGTATGGACACAAACATCCTATCAACATGTCATAACTCAGATTACAGTGAACAGGTGCGTTCTCAGTTTTTGGATGAAGAACAGAGGCCATAGGGGATGGATGTATATATACATTTTTTCAAATTAGACAAGTTGTTTAATATATTACATAGAGATGGGCTGGGTGATACTATGGGAGAGCACATCGAAATATCTACAGGCATATATACAGTATGGACAAACACATCCTATCAACATATGTCATAACTCAGATTACAGTGAACAGGTGCGTTCTCAGTTTTTGGATGAAGAACAGAGGCCATAGGGGATGGATGCAAAATTTTGTATTTGGGAAAATGCAGACAAAATTATTGAAACGATAAAGATGAGATTCTTCAACAAGTAAATGCTTCTCAGAAACATTGGAATATCCACAAGATGATTCCCCTTTCTTTACTGCAATCAAAAGCTAACTTAATGGGCCGATTGAAAATCCCTTTTAGCCACAGAAAACATTTGATATAGATGATCAATTTCACAGATTCAATCTTCAGATTTCTTGTATAGTAACAGCAACAAATGTATACAAATATATTTTCATATACACCAAATCTAGTGTTTCTTTAGCATTTTGTGATGTATGTGGACGTTACCCACTCTGAGGTGAGATAATGCTTCCTTTAATATATCTATTTATTTTCCGAATATTTTAAATACTTTTGTAAGCATGTGTGTAACCTTGGCATATTGTTTTAATCAAGATGCCCTTTTGGCAATTCAGGGCATACTGTTCCGGAAGTATTGTGACAAAGCACCTTAGTCTGGCACTGATATTATCAAAGCATTGTATATTCACTGTTCCTGTCTTTAAGGGTCCAGATACTGGTGTAAAGAACTATATTGTGAATTGTTTTCTTTCTTCTTTACAAATTACATTGGTCTTTTCAATGGCACTGAGAATAATAAACAAGTATTCTAGAATACAACAATGCACTTTCTAAAGAATAACAGAATTAAATTTGCATGGGAGTTCTGTAAACAAGTTATGCAACAATAATGTGTGTTTTGGATCGTACCGGTTACCAAGACCGTATTTTGGCAGCCCTTACTGAAATCTTAAGCACTGATGACTAACAGATGTTACTTGCAGTCGTACCCTTCACCTTCAGCTACCTCACAAACACAGTTCAAGCACATGATTCATAATATTGGCAAGGACATATGATCAGAATATCACCAAATCCTCGAAAGTCACATTCATAGTAATCTGTACTAAAAAAACAACCCAGCATCCCAGAGTTTGGCATCTTTGAAGGGGTGTTCACACTGACTGCAGTTAAAGACAAATCATAGATTCACGTGACTGTAAACGTCAGTATGAAGAGTTTTCTTTCCTAATTAAAATGAGATGTATCGACAGCTGGTTCCCTTTATGAAAATACATGTTCAAAGGCTGCACTGGGAACGTTTTCTATTTTGAGGATGTTAAAAATAGCATGCTTTAAAAGCGCAAACAATATATGGTTTAGGCAACAATCATTTTGACACGTGTGAAAAATCAAACTGCATCTACTGAAAAAGCAGCATGCATCTCTTTACCTCTAACCTTCTGTGGGGGACGAGAGAAGAACTACTGTAGAGTTAAATTATGATTTTTTAAATGCCACACATCAGGTGGACAGATAGTCTACAAGAGCTCTTAACTGAACGAGGTTATATTGATAGCATATTATTTTGCTCTGTTGTCAGTTCATCTATTACTATAATATATTACACATCATACATTAAATCACAGTACGCTTTACACAGAACCCATGAGAAGTCAACAGCATTTCAACCATATGGCAGGAAGATTATCTCAGAATCTAAAGAAACATATGCGGAATAACTTGAGTGTATTTTAAGGCAGTGGGGTTTACGGGGGTCAATCGTTCCCACTCTACTGTTTCAGTCTGTTGCAGTAATCCTCTAATCCAAGTTTGCAATGATACAGCTTTCACAGAAAGCAGCAAAAGGCACCACTGTCTGATCCAGCAGCGAAAGAGAAAGCTTATTATATTTCATAGTTATCACGACTCTCCTCCTCCTCTGTGAAGGGGACAATGATGCCAAAGATGAAATAAAAGCCACTCCGCTGATCAGATTTTAATGTCTTGAGATTCCACCATTTTTGCTAAAGTCTTCTTGACTCGTAGGATGGTCAGACGTGATGCAGGATTGTGGGCCCAGCATTCTGACATCAGCTTTAACATGGCCCTCAAACACTGGGGAGACAAACTCTTTTCAAATCAGGAAATACGTTTCTCTTCTGTACATATTTATAGCTCGAGCTTCTATGCAAAGCTACAAATACTAACTAAATCTGTAAACATTCAGCAAATATAATCTGTAAATATACTGCCACCTGCTGGATGACTCACCTCATCACTGTTCCATCTGTTGGATAGAGTGGGCCGCAGTCCTTTGACACACACAACCTCCAGCATATCCTCATAAGACGGATCTGATGGCACCATCTCATAATATGGTACCTGATAGTCCTCAACGATACCTTGGAAACAATCAGTGGATGAATTCATTCATTACTAATAGTTTAAATTCTGTAAGCATCCACAACAGGAAGTTTTCATTTGAGATCATTTTAGATCAAAATACTTAAAGTTGCAATGTAACGGGAAGTAGTAACAGATCTTTTCTTCTGTATTGTGACAAAAATCTGAGGGAAAATTATCAAAAAGAAAAAAAAATGTAGGGCGGGATTTGGTTCTATCCATCAGTTGTTGATTGGATGGAGGCAGTTCTGAATGCAAGCTTGCAGTTGATTATAAGAAAGGGGCGGGGCTTATGCAGACAAAATGATTGGTCTGAATGGTCAAAAAAAAAAAGTATGAAATGAAGTAAATCATTAAGATGTATTTTAGAACCTTTATAGGGTGAATTTCCATTTCATGCTGATTGTAAAATGATGGCTTGGGTAAGAAAAATATCTTAGATGTATAAAGCAAAACAAAAGAAAGATTCGCTAGTGAATTAGTTTTATGAATACCTCCAGTGACACAGCGTCTGGCCATTTCCCATATAACCAGCCCATAGCTATAGATGTCCGCCATGATGTAGGCCTGAAAGTGGTTCTTATTCAGAGTCTCATCCAGGACCTCTGGAGCCATATAGCGCCGGGTGCCCATACGTGTGCTCAGTGGGATGTCCACTTCATTTGTGTCACTGAGACAAACAAAAAAAATGTTACTTCCTCAAAATGACTGAACAAACCATTTTAAAAAAACAAGCTTATACAATGAATGTGATGAAGCACCTGTTGAATTTCACAGCAAGCCCGAGGTCAG